GATTTTTTTTTTTAATTTTTTTTTTTTTTTTGGATAGCCTATCCCTTGCGAGCTGTGCTTGGGACTAATTATTCTCTTTGCAACTTGATTAATTTTTCTTTGTGTGAGCTGCTGGATGGAATATGCTATTTGAATATATTGAAAATATGTTGACAGATATGCTATTGACAGATTGCCATCCTTATTGACAAATATGCTATTTGAATATGTTGAAAAAATGTTGACAAATTATTTGAATGTTGAAAATATGTTGACAGATTATGCTATTGAGTGGAGCTTGAATATGCTATTTGAATATCTTTTATGTAGAAAATAAGTTGACAAATATGTTTGAATAGGATGTTTACAGATCAAAAAAATGTTGACAAATTTCTTAAAAATGGACTTCATATTATTTTTTTGTTTACAGATTTTTTAATTTGAAAATATGCTGACAAATATGTTTAAATAGGATGTTTACAGATAAAAAAAAAAGAAAAAAAAATCTAATATGCTACTGTAATTTGGGAATTTGCAGGGTCGGGGGTACCTGATCCCCGATCGAGGGCGAGGGACGAGGAATTTTGTAGCATCAGGGATCGAGGATGGGGAGTGTGATCCCTGGCCCCGCCCCGCCTTATTGCCATTCCTACACAAAACACTATTTATGTACAACCGTCTCTCTCCCAATTCACTCATATCTATCTAATCATGGTTTGGTATTCTTATATCTCAAAATTCTGATATAATTCAACAATTGCAATGAATAAATTTGAATAAGGAGACAAGGAAAAAGGACCAACCAGATTAAAAAATAATGGTCAATCCGATTATTTAATAAATGTGATGAGTTGTTCATATATATATATATATATATAATGTTTGTTACATTGATTTAGGAGATAAAAAAAGGTGGAAAAAAAAAGAAGCTAAAATTCATCCGATTTCATATATCATTCTCCATAACCCAATTAAATAAGAGGAAATTATAATTTAGTGAAACTTTTAAAAATAATTACAGATTTATGAAAAAATTTAAGATTTTAATTATTAATATTTGTAAAATTTAGGATATATTACGACATAGTTCCTATATTTTGATTATTGTGTCATTTTGATCCTTATAATTTTAATTGGCTCGATTTTGACATTAAATTTATGATTTTTGTCTCAATTTAGTCCAATCATTTATGAAAAATATGTACATAAATAGCATGTGTCATAATTTTAAGGGAAAAATTATTAATTTAATTAACTCAGTAAGTTAATCTCAACTAATTCTGTTAGGTCTCTTATTTTGTCAATTTCACGAACAAATACATTTGATTTGTATTGTTTGTGCCTGGCATTGTTCATGGACCGCCCGAGTGGTGAATTGTATGCTCGAGCACTGAAATGGTTCGCCCAGTAGTTCAGACTTGATCTGAGATACTTCGAGGATTCATTCTCTACTCGAGCAAACTTTCTATCGTTCAAGCAAAGTCACTTATTGTTCCACCGCCTCATAGACACACAGCTCGAGCGATCTTTGCAACCCTATTTGTTTAAAACCGTATTAGATGCATTCTTTTAGGGTTACCTCTTCCAGATTTGAGATTTGAGACCCAAGAACCTTTGAGTATTCTTCTAGAGAGCGTTGCTATTGTTTCCCTTGATGATCTTGTGAGTTTGTCACCTCACATGGATTGAATTGCACATATTAAGGGGCTTGTTACTATTTAACCTACTTAGAGCTTTCATCGGTGGATTCCGAAAGGTTTGAGCTTGGATGCTTTGAAGTTCGAAGCGGCTAATAGTTGGTGATTCAACACCAAACTAATCAATTCCGTGGCGAAGGTGTTGATGAAAGAGGCACAATGAGTGGATGACAATTCTAGAGTGTGTTGAGTAATTGATTGTATTCTTGTATAATTTCAATATCTTCATAATTGATTGATTAGTGGCTTTTAGTCCATGATTTTTAATCACACTTGAAGGTGCTCTAATTATAATTTTTTCCACGTTAAATCTTTTGTGTTGATTTATTAATTGTGAAACAATAAGCTAAATCATTTTTATACGTGCTAGATGATTTAAATTGTTTGTTTTGAATATTTTTGGGATTTTTAGTAATTGAATCTATTTTGAATCACGAATCACATAACTTAGGATTTTTCAAGTAACTACAAAAGTTTCCTTAATCCGTTTTCATCTATTTGCAACAATCTCTAACCATATTGAACCAATTCATATTAGTTTTGAATAAATTAATGGCTTCGCCATCTCAATTTGTTCATCTAGTTGAGTCTATTTCTTCAATATCTTTGAGTTCTTCAACCGATGAGAGCTTATCTAATGGGGATCATCAGATGATTTCACAACGCTATCGCAAACGAGTTCAAAATATGATGAATTTGCTTATTGCACCACAAATGGTTAAACTACTGTCACTACCAGTTAGAAGACGACGTATATGTAATGATCGAGAGGGAAGTCATCGACAAATATGGAGAGATTACTTTGCTGATGATTGCAGTTATCCATCAGATTACTTTCGCAGACGATATCGGATGCACCGAGAGTTATTTCTTCGCATTTTGAAGGACATTGAAGCATACTGTGAGTATTTTGTCCCAAAAAAGGATTGTACTAGACATCGTGGGTGCTCATCCATACAAAAAATGATCACTGCAATACATATACAAGCCTATGGATTATCTTCAGATCACTATGATGAGTACCTAAAGAGTGGTGAAACCACTGTGATTAACAATTCTATTAAACTCATAACTGACAATTTTATTGAACTCATCCCGAATTCGATCCCATAACCTTTCTCTCAGTTGATCGGTTCCCGTAGCTGCATCTTCTAAGATATGTAACCATGCCTTATAGAGTGTTTCATTTTCTTTTATCCAGTTACGATTCTTTTCTTTTTGTTGCCCTTGACCCTTCTTCTTCTTTTCTTTTAGTTTGGGAAGGTTGAGAAGATGGATAGCGATGTTGTTTCGAGACAAATTGAGTGAATGGAGTATGGGGTATTGTGGATTGAACAAGTATTGAGAACCGAATTGTGATGGTTGTCGAGAGTTATATTGCTGGTTGAATTCAGTGTTGAATAATGGAGGTCTAGGATCCATTTTCTAGATGAACAATTTTATTTATTATTATTATTATTATTATTATGGACGAAAATAGAAGCAAAGAAGTGAAGAAATAGAAAGAGCAAGCAAATTAAAATCTGTAAAAAAATAAATAAATAAAGATTTTTGCACCGCAATGGTAGTTTCCAAAGAAAATCAACATTGAAGAGCTTTAATAGAACTTGAAAAAAAGAAAAAAGAAAAATGCAACGGTACAATTTTTTTCAAAGTTAACTCTAGAACAAGAGAAACCACTATTATTTTATTACAGTGAAGTTTATTATCACTTGTTAACTCATACTCTACCGTTAACAAGAACTTTAACATCTGATAACTAAAACAACTCCAAACTTGAATCTTAACAGCTCCACTACAGCATGAAAAATGAGAATCCCTTGGCTTACTGATAAAATTTGACACTAAAGTCATTTAAGAGTCTCCATTGTGATGTTCTTACCTCTCTGAGATTTTGCATAAAAATTAACAAAGTCTCAGGTATATTTTAGCAATATTGAATAAAATTCTTAAATTTTATATGATATTAAACAAAAATCCTAAATTGTTAACATATTATCACTACAAGAATTCACACATTTGCCGACCACTTTTGCGGACCAAAAAAATTTTGGTCGCAAAAAATTGATGTTTGGCGACCTATCCAGCAGCATACTAACCTATAAATTCATAAAATGAAGACTCAACTTAACCCTAAACTCCACTAGAAGATTCCCTACATATGCTCCATGTAATTCTTTATTTTGTTGGAATCCATGTGAAATTTCAGATTTACCCTTTTCTTCCTATGCTCTACATTTTTCTTGTTGCTTGCATATCTCTTGTTGTGTATGTTGATGGTTTGGTAACGTGGCCTTCTTTCTGTAAGAGTTTACTGTAATTGCACATGGGATAAGGAAAAATAGTGGTTTGTGCAATAGGTACCAGGATGATTGGCTCAAGACGTCAGCAAGCTCTCTGCAACTCTGGGAAAAGGCTCCTCTTGAACCATATACTCTGCAAAAACCTGTAAGTTATATAAAACCAGTTGTTAGTCACAATTTTTTAACACATTTTCATTATGATTTCTTTATATTCACCACTCAAGAGGTCCTACTAAGTGGTGTTGAACATTTTTTATTTCCCAAGTGATTCTACAACGTTTTATTTTTTTCTAATTCTTCATTAAATGTTGCAGATGACTTACTATGTTGTATGTCCAGACATTGATCCCCTTACTACCGCTGCTGCGGACTTTTTTTCAGCAACTTGGCACTGGTTAGTGTGATAAAAGAGTTACATTTGTTCATTGGTTAGTGTGATAAAAGAGTTACTCTTTAGGTTTTGTGATTTTAAGTATTTTGTATATATGTTCATTGGATAATCTTCATTATGATTAATAAGCACAGACAGGACATATACTTTTGTTGGAGTACTGTTTTTTTGGAGTATTTTGTTGGAATAATTGGTGTAAGAGGTACATATACTTTTGTTGGAGTGTTTTTTTTTTTTTTTTTTACCCTTAGCTTTTCTGAAGGAGTCTTTCCATTAGAAAATCTCGTACAAATGCCAAAGTCAATGAATGGCACTTTGTTATTTGACTTTCTTATTTCTGCGGGATGTTAATGTGGAATATTTGTAAAAAAATGCATTATCATTAATGTTAATGTTGCATTGAGGATTATTTATAGTTTTGGATTTTCTAATTTGATCAAAAGTTGAGATGTCACTGGTATTTGCAGTATATTGAAGTGATAATAAATTACTTGGTGTCTTACTGAGCCAAAAAGAAATCACCATAAAGCAAAACTAGTAATAAGGTCAATGAACATTAAAACAAAAAAGGAACTAAGTGAAAAATACAGAAATTCAATCAACCCCAATGCATGAATTGCAACATTAAATATATACATTAACATGTTTCTTGAGACAACATATCAATATATATAGGCATCTTATAAACAGATAGAGAAAAATTGGAACTTGCATCGAAAAAGATTAGAAGATTTAGAGCTTGTGTGTAAGAGACGTGAAGATTGAAAGTGTTGGGTTGCATGGACAAAGAAAGTTCTTGGCAACAGGGTTGATGCCATTTACTCAAGGGTAGCATTTGTTTAAATATCTTGTCAAAGCTGTGTTATGGAGTAACATTTGTATTACAGTGCTCAGATAGTTGGAAACAAGTTCTGTGGGAAACACAATTCGTTTCCCATTTCATGGTGAGCAAAATAGGACAATTGTGCCCAGATAATGGGACATTTCCCGTTTCACGGTGCTCATTTCACCTTACTGAAAACATGTTTGGTTAATCAATGATTCGTTTTCCTGTTCCCAGAATGCTGCAATGACACATGCTTGGTTAATCAATGATGACATTTTTCACTGACATTGTATATTTACCTAACGTATTGTTACAATTTGTTTGATATCAATTGTGGTTAACCACTTTTAGAATTAATAACATCTATTCTATTTACTGCAGGTAGCTGCAACTTCTGATCTAATGCTTGGATATGTGGATTTTTTCCTCGGTGGAGATGAAAAAAGAGCTGACCTTCCTCCTCGCCTTCAGCAAAGATTTCCAATGTCTTTGTTGTTTGGAGGAGATGGAAGTTACATGGCTCTTTTCTCCCTTCACAGTGACAATATCCTCACTAGCCTCATGAGTCAAGTCTGCTATTTGTTATTAATAAAGATAATGGAGTGTTCAAGATTATTTTTTTCATATGAATTATTTTACCAGCATAACATCTCATTCCAATCTCTTCTAGTAAAGTGATGTTGACTGTTATTTTTGCATATTGTAGTCTGTCCCTCCTACTATCTGGTATCGATTAGTGGCTGGTCTAAATGCTTAGTTACATTTAGTTCGCCGTGGACATTTAAGAACAAGTTTTTGTTTAATAATGAACTGGCTTGAAACACATGCAAATCCTACTTTAAGTCCCTATGGTGTACATGTTGATCTGGCTTGCTTTCAGCCCATTGCTTGTGATTATCGCCAGTTTGGACTCACTGTACATGCTGTTGAAGATGAAAGTACACAACCATCAGTTGAAGAGCCAAATGTAACTTCATTAGATGAGCAACAGTCATGGTAATTTGCATGTGATTTTCTCATTTATTTGTCCATTTGGTTAAATTGTTCCTCTAGAACCAATTAGATGGAATGGCATAATAGCTTGATTTTATTTTCCTATCTGATACGCAGTTTAATTAATAATGATTGGAGGAAAGCAGTGGATGATTCAAGCGCCTGTGAACATCTATTGACACATAAACGTATTGGTGGAGGAATTTTACAAATTAAGATCTTGCAAACACTTGAAGAGAAGAAAACTCTATGTTATCCTCTCTCTTTTATACTTCATAATACTAAACCTATTAGTCATCAGGTAATTTTGATGTTTTTATGATGTTAATCTATCAGAGAATAGCTGCTCAATCTATTGCCCTGTGCTAGAAGGATCTTAGCTGCTCAATGTAGGGGTGGGGGAGCAAGGGCACATGGAAGAGTCTAAGGTTGGGGATGCATCTAGGGGAGTATTTACGTATTTTATATAAAAATTTATTGTAAGGAATATATATACGTATATTTTATTGAGTTGTATTGAACATGATAAATGTCTTTGGTACACTACCAGTTAAACCTTAACATAAGCATAGTATATTTATGTTTCTTTTCAGTCCCTTGAAACTTTAGATTGCTTGAGGAACTTGAACGTGGAGAAAAGGGTATTGGAGATGGTACTGTGAGTTATGGAATGGATGATGGAGATGACATTTACATGCGTTCATGGACAGGCACCATTATTGGGCCGCATAATGTAAGCAACTTTTTTAAGTTCATTACGTATTCTTTTGGAACTGTCTTCTTTTATGCAGAGGCTATTTGGAAGTATATTAATGCATTATCTTTTTCTAGACTCCAGTTTCTTCTTCTGGACTAGTGATGCTACTTGTTGATCTTTAATTTTCCTAGCTTTAATCCTTTGACTGAGAATCTTTCTAGTCAAAAAGAGGGGGGAAAAAACTATTCCCCTGTTTTATTTTTCCTAAATTTCGCATCTTACTATAATTTATGCCTCTCAATTTACGTTCTCAGTTTGTAAACATGCAGATGTTCTTCATGACCACAAGTGTAAAATTACATGGCTATCTAATGGAAATGGATAATTCATTGATGAATTTAGTTTTATGATATTTTGTGATGTCTTTGTTTTCTATAAGATGAGCATTCCCAAGTGATAATATAACAGGTTCGTGCTGTCGCTTACTGGTTCTTTCCTGTTTTGTAGGAACATTTTGCAAAACGAAATAAGATGGTTCTTACTCTTAAATATATAGGTCAGTAACCTCTCACTTCCCGTTCTTGTTTGTCTTATGTTTCTTCTTGAACTGAACTTGGAGAAATTATCAAATAGAGTGCTGCGAAGGGAAATAACAAGATTTGGACCTGATCAATTTTTCTGACAGATCCTACATACATGATCCGGGCTATTCGAAGCAATGTAGCTGACAATGTGTATTGTACACTCATTGCTCAGAGTGCTGTTCATGGAGCTATGGCCGGGTACACAGGCTACACAAGTGGGCTTGTTAATGGCAGACAAACTTATATTCCTTTCTATGTAAGTTCTTCCAGATCCTATAGTTAGTTCTATGATTGCACTCTGTTAATAATAAGGGGTATTGTCTGTGAAGCTCTTGTATTTACTCGGAGAAGAATAAGAAAGAAGTAAAGGGTATGGTATGGAATCCAACTCCATCATAATTGTAATCCCAGATTAATGATGTTTGTTACGAAGTAATAATGCCCAATCAGAAATGGATAGCTAATTTTTTTTATTATTATTATTATTTATTTATTTTTTTATTTTATCAAATCTTAATTGCCAAAAGACGACAGCTAAAATTTTAATGATGTCAATTTGTGAACTTCCTGTGAGCCAATTTGTTTTGATTTATGAAACATTGAGCCCACTTGAAAGGATCAGATGCTTTCTGGTTATTTGAATCTGTTGCAGCCTCCCTTCCTTAATAGTCACAAGAATGCGCTTAGACCTCTATCAGCACCTTTTTCTTCTTATTCTTCTTCTTATGTCCATGACAGTTGGTATTATATATTATCTATGAAGTGGAGCATTCTGTAAGGAGGATCTTGATGCAACTGAATAAAAGAATAACTGGTATTTATTGTTGCACAAGCTACTCACAGAAATGGGAAAACTTGATGCCCTGATTATATAAAGCAGATACCTTCATTTCTACTTTGATTCATTTGGTATTATTTCTTCTAAGTCAATTATAAACCTTGTTTTGATGATTTCTAAATGATCAATACAAGATCGATAATTAACATTTGACTATCCCCCTTTTTACTAATATTTAATCCCAATATTCATGCATTACTTGTTATATTTTATCCATTGCTATATAGTTAGATTTCTTTGGTAGAAGTGATGGGTCATGCTAATTAAAGTTCTACGAGTTTCTTTTTGCTCATAGTTGTCCAATACTATCAACTATAAAATTGCTGGCAACATTAATTTGCTATATTCATGTAAAATTAAAATTGCTGGAATCATTTTTTAATTAGAATTGGCTTGTTTGTTTATGATGGAGTTTGTGCATAAATGTGTGGTGCCAAATTTATTTATTTTGGAATATTTGTTTTAATATATGTATCTTGTGAAATTTGGAAATATCTTATTTCAAAATGAAAACTAGTTAATATTGAAGTTCACTACATTTGTGATCTTGAAAGGGCAAGTTTTTGATACGTATTTATCTTTTTTGAAGATGCAAACTACATGTACTGATTTTTGACTTCAGATTGTGACATTTATCTCCATGTTAAACTTTCAGATGAGTCCATTCAATAGCTCGCCTTGTGCTGTTCTTGATCGATCAAGATACTTGAAGAAAATGTGTCATAATTGTGTTGATTAGGAAGTTTTTCCCATTGCATCAATAGTTGTTATAACCTTTTATGCATTTATTCTTGTTACATTTATTCATTTATTCTGATTAGATTAAGGTAATGATATGATTAGATTAGAAGGCCTTAACTAGATTAAGGTAAAAAGCAGATATGATTAGATTAAGGTAAAGAGATACGATTAGATATTAATCTAGTCAAGGTCTTCAGCAGATATGAAGACCTTGACTAGGTCAAGATCTAGATTAGATTAAGGTAAAGATAAAAAAGGTAAAGAGATATGATTAGATGTTTTTTGTTATAATTGAAAAAACAAAAAAGGGTAAGCTGGAAAAGGTTTATGAAGTAATGTTCTTTGTAGTTCAAAACCAGAAGTAACGGATTGAATAAATTTTGCACCTTAGAGGAAGTCTGCGATCTGATCAAAACCAGAATTGCTTTGTGGATTAAATATAATTCTAGGTTGTTGCATTATTCAGTCCATGATATGGTTGAGAATCTGGATCAGGTTCATAGGTGTGTGGGGGGTAGGTGGTTGTGTCCTTGCTTGCTGGGTGGAATTTCATTATGGACAGGGATTGAATTGGGTTAATTTAGTAGTCATTTTGTTTGATAGTTAAGCTACCTTAATTTATGTTTCAATTTTTTATTTTCTGAATTGGTGATGATCTGAGTTGCTGCTGTGAAGTTTTTGTTGTTGCTTGTGATATTGCTGCTGTAGCTATGGTTTCTGTGCTGATGTGTAGTTCAGTAGTAGAATTGGGTTTTTGATATTTATGCTGCTGCTGGATCTGTTGATAGTGATTGTGTCCTTGCTTGCTGGGTGGAACTTCATTATGGCCAGGGTTTGAATTGGTTTAACTTAGAAGTCAATTTGTTAGATAGTTAAGCAACCTTAACTATCTAAATTGGTGATGATCTGAGTTGCTGTTGTGAAGTTGTGGTTTCTGTTCTGATGTGTAGTTCAGGAGTAGAATTGGGCTTTTAAGTCCTCTGGGCTGTGCTGCTATCCTGTGGAACACTAAATGATTTGGTGACTGCCAGTCAGTACTACTGTGAAGACTAGAGGAGATTCATGGAGGTTTGTTCACTTCTGTAGAGTTGATTAATTACTTTAGAGTTTAGGGCACCAAACCAAACAACTTGTTTGTTAAGAAGAACATAAATACATGTTTACATTAGATTTGGCTGTTGAGAGACTACAGTAATTGACTCTGTTCTATGGGTCAGGAAAAGAATTCACTTGTTGCACATTTTTAATATAAGACATTGTTCTAAATAATCTTTCAGTATAAGACAGTAATTAACTCTGTTCTAAACAGTTGAGACAATGCTTTGTGAGTTGAATGTGCTTTTCCAAACATACTAAACACAGGGGCTGTACATCCTGATAATCTTAAAAGAGATGATTAAGATTATCAACCAATCATAAATATTCCTGATTCATGGAGGTTTGTTCACTTCTGTAGAGTTGATTAATTACTTTAGAGTTTAGGGCACCAAACCAAACAACTTGTTTGTTAAGAAGAACATAAATACATGTTTACATTAGATTTGGCTGTTGAGAGACTACAGTAATTGACTCTGTTCTATGGGTCAGGAAAAGAATTCACTTGTTGCACATTTTTAATATAAGACATTGTTCTAAATAATCTTTCAGTATAAGACAGTAATTAACTCTGTTCTAAACAGTTGAGACAATGCTTTGTGAGTTGAATGTGCTTTTCCAAACATACTAAACATGTAAAACCATTAGACTGTAAGTGGTCTCTTTTGTGTTTTTCTTTAGCTGCTATCATGTGTGAACTATTGAAGACATTTTCCATAAATTGGCCTAATCTTTTTGCAGGCTGAAGGTGATGATGATGATGCCGAGGCTGATGATGATGAAACTGACAAAGATGCTGATATTACAGAAGAGAGTGCACATGTAGGATTTCTTTGTACTTTTAATTGTTTAAAAATATCAATTCCACAAAGGATCCACTTTGATGTATCTTGTTTGTTGCTTTGTATTTGCAGGATGAGTTGTAGAGAGGGAGAGCACCATTATGGTTTTCTGCTGACAATTCACTCTCTCGAGATCTCTGAATTTTTTTCTTGCTTAGTTTATTTGTAGCTTTTAGTTTTGTTTGTGTTTTAGGAAAAGAAACATTGGTGGCTGCATAGCAAGCAAGAACTGTGGCTAATTGTTTTAATCTCATTTGACTCACCTGAGGAATTGAATCAGTAGTTGTTGGGTTTACCACTGTATGGAACGTCACTTGTGCCATTCCTTGAATTTATGTGCTATGTTATTGCCTATTGGGAAATTAGAAAGTAAGAAAATATTTAATGATTCAGTTAATTTGAATGATGCTTTAAAATTATGTATTGTGTAGAATGTTAATTAATTATGTATTGTGTCGAATGTTAATGAATTATGTATTGTGTCGAATGTTAATGAATTATGTATTGTGTCGAATGTTAATGAATTATGTATTGTGTCGAATGTTAATGAATTATGTATTGTGTCGAATGTTAATGAATTATGTATTGTGTCGAATGTTAATGAATTATGTATTGTGTCGAATGTTAATGAAAAAAATTTGGTCGTGAAATGTGATAATTGGCGACCAAACTTTTTGGTCGCGAAATGTGACAATTGGCGACTAAGAAATTTGGTCGAGAAAATATCACTTTTCGCGACCAAAGTGTTTTAGCGACAAAATAAATTAGTCGCGGTAATTAAATATTTAGCGACCAAAAATTTAGTCGACAAATCTAACTTTTGCCGACCAACTAAAATTTTGGTCGCGAATTACTTTTGCCGACCCTCAATTGGCGACCAAAGTAGCGACCAAAAAATTTAGTCGCAGATAACTTTTGCCGACCAAAAATAGACTTTTAGCGACCAATTTTTTTGTTGCCAAAAGTGTTAATTCTTGTAGTGTATTTTATTTGTTGGAATTTCAAGGGGAGAAGTTTATGGATATGTTTGGTTTTTTAAAGAGTAAAAAATTGCATCTTCAACTTTGAAGAACAGTTTTTATGCCTTGCTTGTTTCAAGGTAAAACGTTGAGTGTCTTAGAGACAAAAAATAAAGATAAAAATAGTGTAAAATTTAAGATACCTTTCTCTAACTTCATAACACTTTTCATTCATTAAAAAAATAATAATAATAATAAAAATAAAATAAAATCATAATTTTCAAAACACAATATTAAACAATGCTGATAGGATATTTGTTAACATTTGCCACTGATGTATTGCCAAATCTTGTTCATTATTGTTGCAAGCTTGACAAAAGTGCAGGACAATAATGTGAACTGAAAGAGATTATTCGGATCAACCATGTTGCTTTATAGATAAATGTTGGAGACTTGTAATTTTATATTTATATATTTATATAAAATGATATGATAAAAGAGTTGAATTTTATATGATTGAGTATGTGTTATAAAAAAAAAAACACATTATGTTACAGTATTGTGAGTCAAATTGAGATAAATTTTTTTTAGGATCTTAAGTATTTTTTGGTTTACAAAAAATTTGTATCTAGTTGTATAATTAACTTTTGTGAAGACGGAGAAAATGTTCATTGTAATATGTATGTCACATGACAATGCATGCATTGGAATGAGAGGTAGCTTTCAAAACATAAATGCAGAGGAGGGGCATCCATTGCAAACAACATGCGTGTCACATTCGGAGAGGCCAAGCTTCGCTTCCGTCCAAAATCGGACTTGACCGTATTGTTCTGTCTAAGTTGGCCTAATTTTAGACTTATTTTAATGATTCAAATGATTTGATATGTAAAATATATTAAGAGATTATTTTGGGTGTTTTAAATAAGTGTATTTTTTATTTTTTTGGATTAAAAAATTGAAGAAAAAAATATGGAGGTTTGGGTTAATTTTTTGACTTTTTATAGAAAAATGTGTATTAAAAAATTGTATAAATTAGTGTGTAAGAAAAAATTAGAATTAAAAGTTGTGCAGTCGTAATTTTTTACTTTTCGTGAATAGCGATAACTTTTTAACTTTTTGAATAACTTTTTGACTTTTTAAATTTTTTTAAAAATGCCAAACTAAACCTTAAAACATCCCAAATAACGCCATACTCTTGTACACGTTGATAAAAAAGAATTACGTACAACTTATCGGGATGGAATTACAGTCGAATCCGCAACACCGTCCAATCAATCTGTTTCGACGACCCTTTGCAAAGGACAGTGTCACATTCATCCAATGCAGGATCAGAAGGGACACATGGTGGTCCTTTTAAATTTTTTGAACTTTTTACCGAAAATAACAAGTGTAAGTTTGAAAAAAAAATAAAAATTTAACATTGAGTGGTAAATTTTAATAAATAAATTTATAGGGTATGTTTGGTTTGGTTTTGAGAGAGTAGTTTTTAAAAATTATTTTGGAGAGGGAGTTTAGAAATTTTTTTGATTTGTTTGGTTTTGTGTTTTGAAAGTAGTTTTAGAGTTTGGGAGTTTGGAATGATTTGATATTTTGTTGTAATTGAATAGATATGTGTGAAAGAAAAAGTGATTGAGAAGAAGAGAGGAAAAAGGAGAGAGAAAAAGTGATTGATTGATATGTAAGAGAGAGAAAGTGATTTTAGAAATTGTTTTGAAAAAATTACAAATCAAACAAGTTTTTTAAAAAAAAAAATTCAAAATCACTCTACAAAACCAAACCAAACATGCCCATAATTTTTTTTTATTAATGTATAATTATTTTAAAAAAGTTTCGTTGATTTGTAATTTGTTCAACTTTTTAATCTTAACTATTTTTTAACTTTTTAAATTTTCACCCCAATAAAATAGACATTGGCCCTGTTTGGTAGAACTGTGGGAAAGTGATTATAACTTATACCTTAACAGCTTATACTTTATAACTGTAAACATAAGTTGATTTTTTACTTATAAATTAAGCTTCTCCTCCCCCACTCAAAGAATAAGTTGATTTTTGACTTACAAAAAGCTATAAGCTGTATTGTTAAACTGAACCAAACACATCAAAATAGCTTAAATTAAGCTAAAAGCTAAAATAAGCTGGAAATAAGCTCTACCAAATAGGGCCATTCTCCTTGGGCGGACTCTAATAGAGCTAAAGTCTGGTCACTTTAATTCAAAAATATATATAAGACAAAGTCTCCATTTGGAAAGTGAGTTGGCTTTTTAACTTTTTGGTTTTCTTGGCTATTTTAACCTGGGCTAAAAAGTTTGGTTTGGGAATGAATTTTTGACTTTTTTTGTGAGAGAATAGTGTAATGATTATGAGTTGGATGTGATGTTTTGTTTGTTGTGGCTAAAATAGCCTATGTTGTCTTTTGTGGCTAAAATAGCAAAAAAAAGCTCTTGCCAAATAGAGCCAAAATCTTCTTTTATTATGTGTCATGTACTAACATATTTCTTTTGCCATTTAACCCCTAAAACTTTCTTACTTTTCTCTCTAGGGTTTTCTGTAAAGGGAGAGAGAGAGATGGCGGTGGTTCCTCCACCTCTCCGATCTCCCTCTCCTCCTCTTTTCTCCTCATTTCGAGTCTTTTTTAGATTTGATGTTTGTCTCACTAATCTAGCCATCTCCACCTTACCTTCTCCATCTTCGATTTCAAAAATTTAAGATATAGTTTCAGATCTTCTTATAGTCTGAAGGTTGATGTTAGATAACGCGTTTGTTTCAATATAGGCGATCACCTCAACCTCAATATTCTATCTAGATCAGCAGATGTGGGTTCTTTAGATTTTAAGTTGAAGGGTTGTGGGGCAGTGAAATCTTGGATGAGTTCAGTGGCAATTTGGATTTGGTTTTTGTCTATTTGGTGTTTTAATTTTTAATTTATTGATGTAACAATTCTTCCTGTGTAGATGTATGTTTTCCTCCCTTGTGAGAGCATTTTCTCATCTTCTATGGAAGTTTGGATCCTCTCTTCTATGGAGGTTGTTCATTTCTTTTTGAGATCTTATGATATTGTTTTATTAGATTGATCCAACCTTTTATCGGTTTTGCAATGAAGATTTTCTTCTCAATCTGAAAAAAATTAAAATTATTTGGGAGTTAAAAAGTTTGAATGTTAAGATAATATTATTATGGCTATAAAAAATAATGCCCAATTAGTACACATTAATGTGTGTTTGGAAGGAGAAAGATTGAGTTCATACCTAACTTTTGACATAATGCACAAAGTGGTGGCACAAAATTTAAATCTATAACCTCAAGATTATTAGGCCACTTCTTTACCATTGAATCAATGGTGACCCTTTTTTTATATAACCATATATATAATATTGGAATTTAAAATTTTAAGAAGGGAGATTTAATGAAAAATCTCATATGTTCCACTTATGATTTATTTGGTCCTGTTGATCACGCCATTGTCACTAATTTAGATAGTAACAAGTAAATAGCATTATCTACCATTCAAAATGGTTGAAAAATATTCAAAGATTTCAAGACATTTCCAGAATTATCTGCTATATTTCATAAGGAGAATGGTTTAAAAAAAAAAGAGATTAGATTTCTCATAAGTTGAAATCTCAATATGAGAGCACTTGAGGGGGTGTGTAGGGCTCATCATGAATCCTGTTTTGATGATCTGAATAATTAATTTTGTAGGGCCTTCAATATATATTATTAATGAAAAAAATTAATTCGATCTAATAATCGTAATTTTTTTATTTTATTCCATTTATTTCCAAAAAAATAGACGACAAATATATTTTTGAAATATACCATCAATTTTTTAGAGACAAATAGGATAAAATGAATATGTTGCGATTATCGGATTGAACTAAATCTTTTCATAGATGATATACATTTACGGCCATATAAAATAAATAGTTTAGATTATCAAAACGATACACATAGTAAGTTCTACAGACTACTCAAATTCTCTCATGTTAAGATCTCAATATGAGAGAAACCTAACCCAAAAAAATAATAATAATAATAAAATACTTTTAATGAGAATCCCAAGATTGCGTTATTCTGATCTAAAAAATATATTTATTTATTTGATTATTTATGTCTTTTTTAATATATTGCAATAATTACAATTTTTATTTTTTTGTAAGTTAATGCAACCAATAGAATATACTTAATTGTATGATCATATTTTTAATTCTCAACTATATATTGATATGTTTATTTAATGATAATATGATATATATATATATATATATATATATATATA